TTGGAGAGGTGATATAAAGCCGGGTGGTCCGATATAGGGACTCTAGCCAGGAAGCTCAGAGCCACGTCATATGGTAGCGCTGATAAAGGACACGTCTCCTCCTTCTTCCTCTTCTTATACGGTTGTAGCTTTTTGAGAGCAATTGGTCTTGGATAGTATTGCACAGCCACATCATCTGGTAACGGTAACTGGGACGCCTCAACCTTCCTCATCTTTGCTCCCTTTGGATTGTTTGGGTACAGAGAGAAATCACCCTTTTTTATAGACTATTAGAAAACCAAAAAGGTATTGAAAAAAGGAAAATCAGACTTAAGTTTTAACATAAACTAGATTTTGGCAACCGTGCGGGTGTTCGTTTTGTTTTATATATATATCGAAAGGTTTTATTTGTGAAATAGCCATAAAAAGGAAAATTAGAATTTGAGAGAGAGATAAGAAGAGGATGGGAGAGAGAGAAGGGAAATTTGGTTAGTTACCTAATTTGATTTTTTTTTTGTAGCTATAAGGTGCAATTTTCCTATATCGAAATTTTATTTTTATATCAGTTATAAACATTAAACATATTTTCAGATGAATATATATCATTTTCATTTTCAGAATGTTAGAGTTTACATATTTTGCAAAAATAATTCTTGTGTTGACCAGACTACGGAATGTTTAGTCGTCTAGATGGTCCGACATTAGAGAGCGGTAACTCTTGGAGAGGTGATATAAAGCCGGGTCGTCCGATATAGGGACTCTAGCCAGGCAGCTCAGAGCCACGTCATATGGTAGCGCTGATAAAAGACATGTCTCCTCCTTCTTCCTCTTCTTATATGGTGGTCGCTTTTTGAGAGCAATTGGTCTTGGATAGTATTGCAGAGCAATTGGACATGTCTCCACGTTAAGGAAACTTGCGGTTCAGTCGGTGATATACCATCTCTGGAAGCAACGTAACAACCTAGTTCACAACCAAGCGAGCCTACCACCAGGAACGGATTTTCAGAGTATAGACAAGCAGCTGAGAAACATCATCTCAGCTAAAAGGTCAAGGAAAACATTCACCAAGCTCATGTCTTTGTGGCTGCGATAGTTATTTCCTTTTGTGTTTCTTTGTCCCATCTTGTTTTTTATCTAATTTTTGCCAAGATGGTTCGAAACTAAGATTTCTACTTTGTAAAATCTTTTGATCATTTATGATAATTTACAGTTTAGCAAAAAAAAGTTTTGCACAGCCACATCATCTGGTAACAGTAACTGAGACGCCTTAACCTTCCTCTTCTTTGCTCCCTTTGGATTGTTTGGGTACAGAGAGAAATCACCCTTTTCGTATAGACTATTAGAAAAGCAAAAAGGTATTGAAAAAAGGAAAATCTGAATTTAACATAAATTAGTAAACAATCTCTATCTCTTATATATTAAAAGAGAAACATTGTAATAAATGCGTTCAGACCGTAACTGACACGTGTCGGTTTCATAATCATTTGGCAATTAATGTGTTCATACACTAATTTTTTAAATTCATTATTTAATGTAATTATACACTATTTTTTAATTAATTCATTTTCCTACATTTTTATCCTTTATATTAATAAATTATTTTTTTTACGTGACTAATGAATAATATCTATATTGTAAAAAAGTTACAAAATCATTAAGATTCGCATCAACTAAAATGTTGTGATGAAAATGTTTGTAGGAACTGAAAGTTTCGTACCTTGCCGAAGTTGGTCATGGTTAAGGCTTCGGTACACAATAGCAACAAATAAGGTGATTGATTATAAATTAAAGAAACTGAGATGAAAATCACCACACGTAAACTCGGATCTTTAGATTAGTCAAATATTAACATTTTTATAAAATTTTCATATCAGGCCAAGAATTAGAAACAAAATCAAATTGGTAGAAAAAGATTTTTTTTTTTTTTTTGCAAAATTGACCTAGAACTTGATGTCAAACACAAAAGTAACCTCTTTTTAAAAAAAATTGATTTTGCCCTATTCACCCCACAAGTTCATATAATTCACGAAAATGCCATCATTTTTTTTCTTTTCAAAAATGGCATTTTTACTCTCTCACCCTCATCATCTTCAAGTAATTACAAGATTACCATTGTCATCAATATCCCAACAACCATGAACAACCAGTTTTTAAGCTCTTAATGCTTCTAAATTCGATTTACCCTTCTTCTTTCTCCAATCTTATGAAGTAAACAAAACATCTCTCTCACTTTCTCTCCACATTGAACTAAAAAAACCTAAGATTTTGATTCTACATTTTTTATGGTTCATATAGTTAAAGAAACTAACAATTATGGGTGGGATACTTTCGTTTGAGATTGTGTGCTTGGAGAAGCCTTATGTGTGCTAAGAAAGTTATCTCACCAATTTAAAGTATGAAATCGAGTTTCTTTCAGATTTGTTCGTCTAGACGACTTACCAGGTAAGTCGACTGGATGCAGACGACTTATCTGGAAGTCGTCTGGTCAATGCAAAGCCCATTTTTGCAATTGACTTTGATATTTTTTTTTTGGGACGACTGACATATCAGTCGTCTGAATTAGTTTGGTTACAAAAAAAATCTCTTAAGAATCTAGACGACTGAAATTTCAGTAGTCATAGGTTAATTTTGCATTTGACTAGAATATTTCAGAAGTTTGACTTTTACAGACGATTTACATTTCAGTCGTTCGAAAAAATTGAAATATTAATATTTTATTGAAGATCGACGACTTACATTTCAATCATTGTAGGTTAGTTTTGCAATTGTGAAAAAAACTTTAACTTTTAAATACAACCAGACGACGTACAATTCAATCGTCCTACAAAAGACTTATAATTCAGTCATCCAAAATTTTATTCCGAAATTCTAGTCAAACCTCGTAAATCCTGGATGACTGAATTGTAAGTCGTCTGGTTCTAATTAAAAGTTGAAATTTTTTTTTTCACAATTGCAAAACTAACCTACGATAACTTAATGTAAGTCTTCTAGTTTTAATAAAATATTGATATTTCAATTTTTTCGGACGACTAAAATCTAAGTCGTCCATAAAAATCAAACTTCTGAAATATTCTAGTCAAATGCAAAACTAACCTACTACGACTGAAATTTCAGTCGACTGTGTTTTTTGGAGATTTTTTTTTTAATCAAACTAAATAAGACGACTGATATTTCAGTCGTTCCAAATACAGATTTCAAAGTCAATTGCAAAAATAATTTCTGAGTTGACCAGACTACTGAATGTTTAATAGTCTGGATGGTCTGACATTAGAGAACGGTAACTCTTGGAAAGGTGATATAAAGTCGGGTGGTCCAATATAGGGACTCTAGCCAGGCAGCTCAGAGCCATGTCATATGGTAGCGCTGATAAATGACACGTCTCCTCCTTCTTCCTCTTCTTATACGGTGATCGCTTTTTGAGAGCAATTGGTCTTGGATAGTATTCCACAGCCACATCATCTGGTAATGGTAACTGAGACGCCTCAACCTTCCTCATCTTTGCTCCCTTTGGATAATTGGATTGTTTGGGTACAAAGAGAAATCACCCTTTTTATATTAGAAAACCAAAAAGGTATTGCAAAAAAGAAAATCTGACTTTTAAGTTTTAACATAAATTAGAAAAGAATATCTATACATTAATATTCTATAAATTAATTTCTTCAGTCTCAATTTAGATTGGTTTAAAATTTAACACAAATCAATAAAATAATAAAATAATATTTAGTTATAAATTTATATGTAAAGATATGATCTCACTAAAATTATAAATTAATCATTTCTATCCATATATATTTTATTTAAATAAAAACTTATCATTATATTATTTTTTATATTCAACAAAACTACTTTTATATTTTCTTAATATTTAATATAGTTTTGATGAGATATAATAATGTTATATCTAAAATCACATTTAAATGACAGTGGATGCATAATTTATAGATTATGTATCATATTATATATGTATATTATATTATGAAACTTATATATATATATATATATATATATATATTATAGATTATGTATCATATTTTTGATGAGATATAATAACGTTTTATCTAAAATCATATTTAAATTACAGTGGATACATAATTTATAAATTGTGTATCATATTATATATGTATATATTATACATATAATATATATTATATATTATGAAAAATTTTGTATATATATATTATAGATTATCTATCATATTATATATGTATATATTATATTATATATATTGTAGATTATTTATCATACGATATATATCATCAAAATTAATTATAAGTGTTTCTTAACAAATAAAAAAACTAAAGCAATACTAATTAAATAAAAAATATTGATAGTTAAATAATGAGATTTTATTTAAGTTTATCAGTTCTTTAATATAATTACAAACTGATTTTTTTAAATTAAAAAAAAATCCAAAATTTGATAGAATATATTTTTAAATATATAGACTAAAACAAGAAACATATTTAAAATAAATAATCACTATATACTGAGAAATTATAAATAAAAAATTTATTCTCACAAAATATAGAGAATAAAGGAAAGTTTCAACATATTCCCACATGTTTCCTAATTTCAAAATATAAAGATATATAGTCTTGTACGTGGTGCTTGGAGTAAACTGTCTTATGTCGTACGCATATATACAAAATTCTCGATTTGGTTACATAGTTTTGATAATATATGTTTTATGATATAAAAAGTTAATATATAATTGCATTTCTAATTTTATTTTTTCCAAATTAATGAAATTAAAATATTGAAAGAATGATATCAAATGTAATTTAAATTTCTATTTAAAATAGAATTATTTTCTATTAAAAATTTTTTCTATTTCAATTTTTTTGGGAATTTGCCTAATCTACCATTTTCAAAGTACCATATTTCATTTTTACCTTAACCAATTTTACTACTAAAATTTTGATATGCAAAATACCATTCTACCCTTCCATAATTCAATTGTCAAACCTATATTTTTTTTCTCCAAATCCGTCCGATGATATCACCGGAGATATCTCGAAGCTATGGAGGACGAGATTAGGATCGAAAACGATCGGAGCTCCGGAGATCCGAGCAACGAGGCGTTGAGATCAGGAGTAGCCGATACTTGAGCTTCAAGATTGAATCGTATTCATAGTTCTTTAAAAGGTGAAGGGATGTGGACGAAGCTTGTCTCTGATCCCACGACGAGTAGCTTTCTGAAACAGCCTGATTACGTGAAGATGATGGAGGAGATTCATAAGAACCCTAGCGGTAATCTCAATTCTTACGTGAAGGATCAGAGAGTGATGAAATCTGTTGGAGTTGTGTTGAATCTTAATCTCAGAGGAGACAAGTCTGAGGTTGAAAAGAAACAAGAGATGAAGGAGAGAGACGAATCGGAGAAAGAGTTAGGGAACGCTGCGTTCAAGAAGAGACACTTCGAAGCTGCGATTCAGCATTACTCTAATGCCATGGAGTTTGATGATGAAGACATCTCATGTATCACGAACAGTGCGGATGTTTATCTTCAAATGGAAAAGGTATTAATCTTTTTAATCAGTTAGGGTTAAGGAATAATAATCAATGTCGTTTGGTTGATTGGTTTCAGTACAAAGAGTGGATAGAGGATTGTAACAAGGCGGTTAAGAGAGGTAGAGAGCTTGGATCAGATTGCGAGATGGTAGCTAGAGCTTTGACTAGAAAGGGAACTGTTTTTGTCAAAATGGCGAAAAGCTCTAAAGACTATGAACCTGCTATTGAAGCTTATCAAAGAGCTCTTACAGTGCATCGTAATCATGAAACGTTGAGGAAGCTGCACCAAGCTGAAAGAGCAAAGAAAGAATGGGAGAGGCAGGAGTATATTGATCCCAAGATTGGTGATGAAGAGCGTGAGAAAGGTTATTTCTTTTGCAAACTAGTCTTGTGTTGTGTGAGAACAAAAACTGATAAAGAGTGGTTTTAAAATGCAGGTGATGAAGTTGCAGTTTTTTCCTCTGTACAAGACTGGATTCTATGGATGAGATCACGTAGGGAATTTCACTTTAATTCGATACAGCTGCGATGTTTATTAGTCTAAATCTTGTGAAGAGGTTTATGTTAGTGAGTGGTCCGTAGTTGATTCAGACATAAACAACAGTCACTTGTTTTATGTTAGTTCATAACAGCTTTAAGGACTTGGACTCATGTCTTTTATGTTATGACCTTTTATCAGCTAACTGATACTCTTCTTGTCCTGTCTTTGATTTGTAGACTATTCGAGTTCCTATCAGAGAATTCAGTTAATTCCCCGTCATTCACCACATTAACTTCCCAACAGTGATTCACAGGTAAGATAGCGACTGCTTTTTTTTATAGGGAAGGTATGCTAACAGACGGATAGTGGAGCTCGAGATTGCTGCTAAGGAGCAAATGAAAATCACAGAGCTCCGGATGGCAAAGCTCTTCTCCGAGAAGGCTAAAGTTGTTTCACAAACTGAGTCCACAAAACCTCAAGGTATTGCTTGTGTAAGGTTTGAATCTCCTTTGGAATACTTGTGTTATGTGTGATCTGTCTATTTTCTTTCTTAGTTTAGAAGATCGTTTGAGAATCATAGGAGGGCATTTGAATGTTGCAGAAGCTGCTCCCAAGAGAAGTAGGCCACCCATCACCACTCATGTCTTAGACGTCTCACGTGGTGCTCCAGCTGTAGGTGTTGAAGTGCATTTGGAAGTGTGGAATGGTACTACCAGTCCTTCCTTTGGCTATGGAGGTCGTGGTGGGGACTACTGGTCCATGGTGGGTACTTCAGCTACTGATAAAGATGGGCGTAGTGGGCAACTGATGGATTTGGTCGAGGCGTTGAAACCAGGGATGTATAGAATAAGCTTCAACACTGGAAAGTATTGCCCAGGAGGCTTCTTCCCTTATGTTTCCATTGCATTTGAGGTCACAGAATCTCAGAAATGGGAGCATTTCCACGCCCGCTGTTACTTTCACCATTTTCTTTCACCACATACCGTGGGAGCTAGAGCTGCTGCTGCACAGTCTTCAATACATTTGGTGGTTTACTGTTATGTATCAAAATTGCTATAAAAATAAATATCTGTATTTGTGTATTTATTTGGGGTTTGTGAAACTAGTAGAACAATATGCAGCGTTTGCACCTCTAAAGACTTGCATTTGACCTCAATTTTTCCTCTTATTTGGTTTCTGAGTTTCTTAAACATTCCTCTGCAATTTTCATTGGTTACTTACTTAAATGGTAGAAAACATCTTGTAGAACCGCATAATTGTTGAGCAAACAAGTGAACAACACTAAATCAAGTTACATCCTCGAACAATGTTTCTTCCTCCACAATCTTTACCATACTTCCGACTACTTGTACCCAACTATCTACTACTTTCTTGATCTTTCCATCTAAAATCTCCACCAACGTAAAAGCTCTTATCGTGCCACCACTCTCAAGCTCCTCTGCTGCTCCAACCGGCGTCTCTTTAACCCTCGGGACTATTGCACCATTCACATAAACAATTTTGTTGTCACTATCTTGCACAACCATTTTACGGTTTCCTTTCCCACCATCAAGCTCCTTATGCATGTGTCCAAACACAACTAAAGGAACAGACAGTTCCGTCGTCTCTTTCAACTGGCGTAGTGCGTGCTCTAGATCTGTCTCACCAAACCAAACCAAATCACTCTAGGGTAGTGAGTCTGAAGAATTAAAAAATATGGAAGCAACATTTACTTGGATCACCCTGGTCACCACCTTGGTCAGTCCAGTCTCTTCCACATATATCCTCAGCCTGAGAACCAAGACCTGCAAGAGAGAAAAACCACTAGTTAAAATCCTTATACGTTTAGACCGAAGACAATAGACCATTTAGAAAGCTTCATAGGTTGATGATGCACCTGTTGGACCGTTATGCGCAAGGATTATAACGACATGAACTTCCGGTGTTCCAAATGCAGCTCGACAAATAGCCCCAGCACTTTCATCCATATTACGAACTCCATATCTAGAAAATATTTTCTCAGTCTTTTGTTTAACCATGTTAGGGGTTTTCTTTAGCAGGAATGACGAAGAAGATTAACAAATGGGAATTAATAAATGATTTTATAAACCTTCACAGATGATTTTATAAAAGCCTTTCTCAATTGTTTATAAACTCTTGTAAATGATTCATTAACTTTTATGAATAATATATTAATTCCTATAAGTGTAGACACCTTATAAATGTTTTATAAACCCTTATAAATTATTTATAAACACTTATAAATTATTTATAAACACTTATAAATGACTTATAAACTATTATGGATAATTTATAAATCCTTATAAAATTAACTTTTATGAATAATATATTAATTCCTATAAGTGTAGATACCTTATAAATGTTTTATAAACCCTTATAAATTATTTATAAACACTTATAAATGACTTATAAACTGTTATGGATAATTTATAATCCTTATAAAATTATTTGTTGGGTATTGATTGTATTTTATATATATTTACATCAAGTGATCATGTTGTAATCAATCTTTGTTGGTCAGTGATTGGTTACATCATAATGTTTATAAATTGAATTTGATTTATATGAGTTTATTAAATGACTTATAAGTGTTTATAAAGATATAAAATGATTTATAAAGGTTTATAAGTTGACTATAAGAGTTTTAAACTGATTTATAAAGGTTTATAAGCTAATTTATTAATGTTGTCTATGATAAATGACTTATACAATGATTATAAACTAAATTAGAAAGGCTTATAAACTAATTTATAAAAACTTATAACTAATTTATAAGGGTTTATAAAATCATTTATAAGGTTTGTAAAGGTTTATAAACTAATCTAATAAGGTTACTAAGTTAATGTATAAAAAGCTTATAAATGATTCATAAAGGTTTATAAGTTAATTTATAAGAGTTTATAAACTAATTTATAAAGGCTTATAAACTAATTTAAGGGTTTAGAAGTTGATTTATAAATCCTTATAAATGGTTTATAAATGGTTTATAAATCATTACAAATGATTTATAAACTCTTATAAATTATTCATAAACCTTAATAAATGACTTATAAGAGTTTATAAATCATTTATAAGCCCTTATAAATAGTTAAAAATGGTTTATATAATTTTATACATGATTTATAAACTTTTATTAATTATAAATGGTTTATAAACTTTCATGTGTGTAGACATGGGGCATGATCAGACCGGTTATGAGCCAAACCAGATGAAATATTGGTTTTAGACCCCTAATTTTTTTTGAAAAAGTTATATGTAAATAGGTTTTTGAAAAATAAAATTTAAACTCCCAAATCCATAAAAAGAGAAAATTTAGGTGAAATCATTAAAAAATCGCGTGAGTCCCATAATTCTCAGTACACAACATTCAGCTAAATTATTTATAAACCCTTATAAGTCATTGATTAAGGTTTACAAATCCTTGAGTTTATAAATCATTTGTAATGATATACTGAAAACAATAAAGAAATAGACAGAATCAGACCTAAGTTGCACTATCCTGGGCAGCCATGAAATTCATAGGTTAATTTGAGAACCATATAAGCATTTTTCAAGTTAAAAGGTCATCAAACGCCTAGTATACCAGCGTCTACTAAAACTGTGAACTTCCCAGTGACAAAATTCTCCATCCCATCAAAGGCCCTACGAAGGTACAGTTATTACTGAAAATAAATCCTTCCGCTTTTCATCTTGAAGACATACTGTAAGGAGAAAGATATTAACTAGCCTAGTTGCACTTCACTAGATTTACTATAAACATTTTAAAAAAAAAAAGTCATACAAACCTGTGAGAGCAATGCAACATCTACTCCTATATCAAAGAATTGCAGGAACATGCTGATCATCATCGTGACAGGATCCTTGTTGCCCGCCTGTAACCAAACTGATTACTATTCCATGTCGTAAATAAGTAAACAAATAAAGATAGCGATGCATTCATCAGTGTATAAGATATCAAGAACTTGAGAATACCTCCTTGAAAACGACACTTTGTAAAGACTGCAGATAAAACAAAGGAAAAAAAAACAGAGAAGTTAGAAATACTGGTTCACATTTACATTTGAGAAAATAATATCAAAGACATTTTCATCCATTAACCAAGATTCTGTTGTTACACTGCCGAAGAGTTTAACATAGTCTTGCAATACTGGGATAACATAGAGTTAAATATATTAAAGGGAGCTCACATATAAACAAACAAAATGTACCTTCAACATCTTATACACACAGTAAATGGAAAACGGATAGCCAAGAAAATTCTGCACATGACCCTTCCAAGTTCGAGAAAGAGAGATGTTATTGCTGCGGATATACATGGAGCTAGTCCTCTTCCTCGACCTGAAGATTCACTTTTCAGAAGCCTGCAACTTCTCAATCTACATGAACAGACAACTTCAGATGATCCAGAGCGAAACCACGGTTCTGTTCATAGTCTTGAACCCTGAAAGTACTCTTGTCATCATCTTCGGATGACAAGCGACACCTCCCAACACCTTGACCTGAAACCTCTTGAACATCTCATGTGTGTCTCAGTTTCAGCTTTCTCTTCCTCTTTCTACCTCTCCTGTATCATCCTATTATCCTATTATACTGAACAAGAAACGCTTTCAAAGTGAACGTACTTATCCAAACCAAAGCTCTCGTACCATCCGATCTCTGAGCTGTAGAGAAACATGTTTCATCTTTCAGGAGCCCAACACGTTCCCTATCTTCTTACAGAGAAGGAAGCCACGCGATGTTTCTCACACCAAACCCTATCTACCATCTCTTTTCAATACTCGTCCCCACCGTAAACAGCTTCGTTAATCTCATCCACAGAGCCTTTCTCCTGTATCACCAAGCACCGAGAGTATCCCACCCCACGTGTAAAAAAACAATTAATATGTGCAAAGCTTTAGAGACAGCTTCTTTGAGCATCTATCTGGTCGTGTTTGGTGAGTATAATAACTCTAAACCTTATCAATGGTGAGAACATCTCTAACTCCTAGTTTCAACGTGATTGGCGACTCGTTCTTGGCTCAGTGAGTCGGATTCGGTGCGGATCTGCTGAGCTTTGGCGATTTGCAGCCAAAGATGACGACTCCGACTCGTGACACCGATCAGACCAGATCCTCTAATCCTCACCGCCGACGAACTCTCCGATCAGACCAGATCCTCTTCCGCCGCGCCTCCTCCACTTCCGCATCTCCTCTTTCACACGAGATGATAGAAAAGAAAGTAAGGTTAGTTTTGTAATTTTTCATTAAATGAAAGTGGTTTATTTGAAAACTGCAATTAAATTGTGGTATATTTGAAAAGTTATAGAGTGAAAGTGGTAGTTATGAAATTTTCCCAATTTTTTTCTATTTCAAAAATTTATATATGGGCATGGCGCAGAAAACCCTCATAGTTTAAAAAATAACTTTGATGATTTGGTTGAAAACACTGGTTGTTATGATCTATGTGATCAAATACTAATTTAACGATGACAAAAGAAAAGTTGGGTACGATGTCCATTCAGACCCAACATAACAAAAAATCATACAAACTTTGAAACTTCCAAAATTTAATCAATATAATAATATCATCGACGTTTCAGTCAGTCACTTTTTTTAACCAGATCTAATAGGAAAGATAGATGGGGAATGGGGATATTGAATCTTTTCCTTATCAGAAACCTATAGCTACAAATATTCCATCGTTCTCCCATCCTTGAAACGTATTGCCTTCAAGATGGTATTGGGGAGGGGGAGGGGGAGGGGAGAACATCCAAGAAGGTGCATCCCTCAATCACCAAGGCTTCAATGGTTGTCATTTTGACCAGCTACAATACATGGTTAATCGGAACCTAGTTGGCAATGGAAACAGATCTTTCAAAACCAATGCATTTGCCTCCAATAAGAGAAAAATGACTTTATATATCTTACCAACTGCTCCCTAGATAGTTTATATTTTGCGTGCTCTCTTGCTCAGTTCATAGTGAGATCTCCGGCTAATCATAAGCAATTAAGTCTTTGTTTTGTTATCTATTGATGATTAACTTCTTGGTTTTTGAAAGAGTGTAGGAGTTAGCCTATGTTTTGGTAGTTCGTACAAGGCCTAAATGTTTGGTTACACCTTCCTTTTTTGAGTTTAGTTTTCGGGGAATCTGTGTGTTTCTGCAAGCTTTCGTATTTTACCATGTATCTTTCAATTGGTAGTAGTGAAAACTTTAGTGGCAAAATCTCTGACCTTGAAAAGATAAAAGATAGCAGTCACATAATTAGCATGTGTCCATCGTTTCTTTAGAGCAACATAAGAGCATGATTAATCCGGAGTTCTTAGGGTGGTGTTCTTAGCGGAAGTTAAGGAATCACTAGTCCTCCACTCTATTAGAACTAGAGGAACCTCATTTGGTTTCATATTACTACTATAGGTAACAATTTTTTCAAAAGTGTGAGCTACACTCTAGAGATATTCTCATCTGCTCCATTCGCTGACGAGAAAGAGACTCTCCGATCAACCGAAGCTCAGATAGTGTCAAAAAGAAGCAAGCTATTGAAGTTTTAATCTGAATATCACGAAGTCTTTTCACACTTCACAGAGATGGCTAGTAAATGCGCAGGCGAAGTACAAGAAGTGAGATATATACATACCCCTCTTCTATTTTCTTGATTACTTTAAGAACAAGTGACTGAGATTTTGTTGCTTTTTGATAGAGAGCGGAAGCTAATAACCTAACGTGGAGGTGAAGGAACGATAGTGATGGCGCGAATACTCTTCGCAGTGTTCGTTAGAACTCTTTAGGGTTGCGAATACTCTTCGCAGTGTTCGTTTGAGAACTCTTTAGGGTTGCAAATCTGTAACGAAGTCAATGGCTTCCCCATGAAGACGAGTCTTGTCAGGGGCGGTGGAGAGATCAAGAGGACCCCGTGGAACAAAGCCATACACCACTCGAAACGGCGAAAATCCCAAACTTTGATTTTGAGCGTGGTTGTGTGCAAATTCTGCTTGACCGAGCTTTGTATCCCAAGATTTGATGTTATCACCAACAAGGCAGCGTAAAAGGTTCCCCAAAGAACGATTTTTCACTACAGTTTGCCCATCGGTTTGTGGATGACACGCGGTACTCATGTCCAGAGAAGTACCTAAGAGTTTCCACAAAGAACGCCAAAAGTGACTCAAGAATCGTGTATCACGATCCGAGACGATCGACGATGGAAGTCCATGAAGATGGTAAACTTCACGGAAAAAGAGAAGAGCCACGTGAAAAGAATATGTCGTCTTTTTACAAGCAATAAAATGAACCATCTTGGAGAATTGATCGACCACCACAAAAATAGAGTCATGACCGCGTTGTGTACACGGTAATCCTAAGACGAAATCGATTCTAACATCAGTCCATGGTTGTGTTGGTATTGGCAGAGGAAGATAGAGACCAGCGTTCGAAGCTTTGCCTTTCGATTGCTGACAAATGCGACAACGCTCGACAAAGCGCTCAACATCCCGTCGGAGAGAAGGCCAAAAATAAGACTCGGTGACCAGCTGAAGAGTCCGATCCCTACCCACATGTCCTTCATTGTGGAGTTCAGCAATTATTTTCTGGCGCCAGCTACACTCGGGAACGCACAAACGAAGGCCTTTAAAAAAAAAGCCGTCTTGAATTGTGTAATCTCCCGTGACTGCGATCTCGGTGTCACTGAAAATACGCGCGAAAAAAGGATCTCCGGAATACATATCAGCGAACGCCGCGAACCCCGTCACTGAAGTATGTAGAGTGGTGAGAAGTCCATGCCGACGACTCAAGGCATCGGCCACACGGTTGGTTTTTCCGGACTGGTGACGTATAGAGAAAGTGAACTGTTGCAGATAGGAAATCCAGCCTGCATGACGAGCGGACACTTTTGCTTGGCTATCAAGGTGTCGAAGAGCATCGTGATCCGTAAATAGGACAAATTCGCGATGAATCAAGTAATGATGCCAATGCTTGATAGCTTGCACTATTTCGTAGAATTCAACGTCATAAGTACTATAACGGCCTCTGGCGCCTGCAAGTTTTTCACTGTAAAAAGCGACAGGGCGTCCCTGCTGACTTAAAACGCCACCGATGCCGAGCTTTGATGCGTCACAGTGGAGCTCGAAGGGCAAGGAAAAATTAGGGAGCACGAGAATGGGTGATGTCGTGAGCTTCTCCTTAATTAACTCAAAAGCGAGAGTTGCTTCAGTCGTCCACACAAACTTATTATCACGCATACAACTTGTGATTGGTGCCATTATGGTACTAAAATGATCGACAAACCGTCGGTAGAAGGATGCTAGACCATGGAAGCTACGAACCTCCGAAACTGACTTCGGTATCGGCCATGATCGCACAGCCTCAATATTTGTTTGATCGACAGATAATCCTTGATCGGAAACCACATATCCAAGGAAAAGAACCTTTGATACGCCAAATTCACACTTCTGCTTGGCGGCAAATAGTTTTTCGGACCGCAAGACAGTAAGTACCTGCCCAAGATGCTCAGTATGGTCGGCAATAGATGAGCTAAAGACGAGAATATCATCGAAATATACGACGACAAATCGCCCAATGAAGGGTCTTAATGCCTGGTTCATAATGCGCATGAAAGTGCTAGGAGCATTAGAAAGACCAAACGGCATTACCAACCATTCAAAAAGGCCTTCCCAGGTCTTAAAAGCTGTCTTCCACTCGTCGCCGGGTCGGATACGAATCTGATGATAACCACTCTTAAGGTCGATCTTGGAAAAAAAATTTGGCGGAACCAATTTGATCTAAGAGGTTATCCAAGCGTGGAATAGGAAACCGGTAATGAATGGTGATTTTGTTGATGGCGCGACTATCAACACACATGCGCCATGAACCGTCTTTTTGGGAATTAAGAGAGCAGGCGCGGCACATGGACTGAGACTCTCTTTGATATGTCCCTTGCGCAACAGCTCTTCTACTTGCCTCAGTAATTCTTCATGTTCCAGTGGGCTCATGCGATAATGTGGTCTATTGGGTAATATTGCTCCTGGAACCAAATCTATTTGATGTTGAATATCCCGAAGTGGAGGGAGTCCTTCTAGGAGTTCGTTGGGAAAGACGTCCGCGAATTCTGCCAGTACTGATGTTAAGGCGGGTGTTGGTGAGGTTTGACTGTGATTCTGTCCCGTAGTTGGTACGAGAGCGAGTGTGTACCCTTCGTTTTTAAGCTCCGACATAAATGTTGAGTAACAACAGAGGAGTGTCGTTGGTTTTGCAGTGGTTGCGGAGGAGCGAAATGGAGGATCAGAGAGTGATTTGACTGGTTCGGCTGGTGTTGGAGTAAGAGAAGGCAAAGCCGTTGATGAATCTTTTGATGGCCGTAACACGATCTGTTTGGAATCCCGGATGAAGCTGTATGTGTTCTGAGCACCATCATGAATAATTCGTCTATCAAATTCCCATGGACGACCGAGGAGGAGGTGACAAAAATCAATTGGAGCGATATCACAATACATGCGATCGCGGTAATGAGGTCTGACGGTGAATGGCACGATTGCTCGCTGTGTAATACGGATGCTTGCTGTGTTGTTGAGCCAACCCAGATTGTAAGGCGCTGGATGTTTCTCACGCGTAATACTGAGTTTATCTACTGCTTCATCAGAAACCACATTGCGGCAGCTCCCTGAGTCAATGACAAAACTGCAGATGCGATTATTAATCGTACAAGTGGATCGAAAAATATTAGTGTGTAGCCACTTGTCATCCTGTGTCACTGGTGTAAGACATGCTCGATGAAGGACGAGGAGGCGATCCTGATCACTGGACGTTGTGAGAACGTTGTCATCTTCTTCCTGTGAATCATAAACTTCTTGGTCATCGACTGAATCATCAATCACTAAGCCTCGGCGTGTAGCATGAGGACAAGCGGTTTGTCGATGTCCTTGTTCACCGCAGCTGTAGCAACGAAGTGCATTAGGTCGCGTAGAACGGCGAACCTGTTGTTCTTCTGGTGGCGCCTGTTTGGTTGCTGCTGTGGAAGCTTCGCCTGTTTCCTTAGAAGAAGACGAAGGAGTGATGTTGCCGGATTGGTCGCTTTGACGAGATCGTGCTGCAGAAGAGTTCCAGTTTGAAGATTTAGCTTGTTGTTCGAACGCGGCAGCGCGTTTATGTGCTTCTCCGATCGTAGATGGATCAAATTGTGACATAGAAGTCTGAAGTTGCGGTCGTAATCCCCCAATGAAACGAGAAACTAACTGGACTTGGCTATCATTAATCTCATTTCGAGTTAATAATAGGGAAAACTCTTCGGCGTATTCATCGACACTACGATTACCTTGTCGGAGATTTTGTAACCTCGTATACATGGTACGTTCATAGTTGTGCGGTAAGAAGGTTTGCCGGAGGTGTTTTGTGAGCTTCTCCTATGACTGAATAGGTGCTTTTCCAGTGCGGGAACGAGTCGTTTTCAACTGTTTCCACAAAGTAGCGGCATGACCACGAAAGCGTGTGGCCACAAGTGGGACGCGATGAAGAGGAGGGACTTGCTTAAACTCGAGGATCTCCTCAACTGAGATTAACCAATCAATGAGATCATCACCTTTCAATCCGCCTTGAAACTCGGGGATATCCACTCGAAAGTTTTTTCCCAGTGAGTATTGATGTTGTCTTGTTGGCGTAAGTCTTGAAAATAAACTTGACGATGAAGCTCTTCCTCGTCATCGGAATGAGTTGGTTGTGCTCTCTCGTCGTGTCTACGGTTATACCGCTGGTGCTGGATTTGTTGTTGATGTCGCGGAGGTGGAAGATGACGTTGTTGATGTAATGGAAGTTGCGGTTGAGCAGGTGGTGGAACGTTATCGATGAATGGAACCTGAGGGTTTACGCGAGCCGTCAATGCCGTTGTCAAGGCGTCAATGCGGGCTGTTAGGGTTCCCATTGTATCGCTAAGGTGTTGGATGGAAGCTTGAGTAGCTGTTTGCATCTGAATTAGGGTTTGCAACTCAGTCGGATCCGTTGCGGCTTCTTCCGGGTTGTGCTCCCGATTATCACCGCCAGTGCCTCCTGTTTTCTTAGCCATTGAAAACAAGAAGTTCTTTCCCGAAACGTACTGATTCTGATACCAATTGATAGAGAGCGAAAGCTAATAACCTAACGCGGAGGTGAAGGAACGATAGTGATGGCGCGAATACTCTTCACAGTGTTCGTTAGAACTCTTTAGGGTTACGAATACTCTTCGCAGTGTTCGTTTGAGAACTCTTTAGAAAACTGAAAGCTTTTATTAATTATCAAAAGTAGTGGCTTTTACAAAGAGTAAGGCCGCTATATATGCTAAACGAGAAGACCAAATCCTAAACTAAAAAGGAGAATTGACAATTATCTAGTTGAAACAAAAAAAAGGAAACTAATAGCTTAAGGCCCAAGTAAGCCATAACAATGGCGGTGGAATGAAGTGAGGATGCGCTGCATCACTTTTGCAGATTGATGAGCTTCTCAAGAGGAGGAACGAGATATGCGCGGCGTACACAACTTTCCCACCAACAAAGCAAGGTTCAAGCAAGAGCTGGAGCAAGGGAAAGAGCAAGAAGAAGAGCAGTCTTTTAATGGAAGCTAGAGAAGAAGGAGAGGTCACAGTTAGAGAAGAGAATGTAGTGAAGAAGAAGAAATGGTATAATATTCAGCTAAGGCAAGACAAGAAAAAGAACTAAAGAGACTTACTATCATCTCTTTGTACGCTTTGCTGGATTCATATTCACATACTCATCAGCTTCTTCTTGGTCCAAAGTTTCCTCACCAGATCCTGGTTTACTATATACAGTTTGGTGTCTACCATTGTTATTTCTTTCAGATTCATCCTTCCAGATTTGGACACCACATTCAACAATCTCGAATCCGCTGCTGAATTCAAACACAACCTCTCTGCTAGCAGCTTCTTGTAACAAGTATGAGGGAAATAGAAACAGATGTTTTCTTTGAATCTTAGGAATAGTATAAACATAGATCTCCTCAATGCCTTTGCTTATACGACGACACACTAGTTGTTCGAATTCTCTTGTTTGCTGGTTAGGAGAAATCACAACACAAACCTTGAAAATGGTGACATGCATGTTACTCATGATGGGACGTATGGTCATGGAATTTCCTTTGGCTAGGTGATCAAACTCTACAGGCACTTCTCTTCCAGGTAAACAAGCCCAACCATGAGCAAAATGTTGTGTTAAAATTGCTTTTCGTGCTTCTCCGTCTAGTTTAAAGCAGTTTGTGTAATTGAGTTGCGTGATTGGAGTGTCGTAAGCACAAGTAAGTCCCTCCTTTGATTCACAATCTTTCCTGACCGAATCTGGTAGTGATTTGAGCTTTCTGCAGCTCTTTAGATAGAGTTCTCCCTGCTGGAGACTGTTCTTGAAGTATGGAATAGTCCCCTGCTCACCAGTGTTGCTTAGGCGTAGATGTTTTACACTTTGGGGAAGATGTGTTAAGGACTTTAGTTTTCCTTTGCTGGTTATGTTGAGAACACAAAGACGAGACCAAAGGCTGATAGACTCAGGCACCTGGTCTAGTTCTACAACTGAGATAGAGAAGCTTATGACGTTCCTTGAGATGTCTGGAAAGTTTCTCAGTCTCTGGCATGCCATCATATGTACTGATTCAAGAGATGCCAAGTTCATGTTAGCTGGAATGACTTGTAGCTTTGTGCATGCGAACATGTTCAACGTTTTTAGCTTGTGAAGTTTCGCAAAAGAGGATGGAAGCTCTACCAGACTCTCGCAGTCATTCAGAATCAGTCTCTCAAGATTTGTTGCATTTGAAAGATCTGGGAGCTCTTTTAAATGATAGGACATTGACAAATCCATCTTCTTGAGTTTTGTAAACGGCTGAAACCCAAAAACAAAAACCAAACATAAAACAGTTGATCATCAGAACATGAATAGAAAGTACACATTCATATCAACATAATCCCTCTGTTTTCTTCATTTCAAGTGTTGTTATAGAATAAAAAATTTGTTACAAAATAAGTGTTGTTTTAAAATCGCAAGACAATCTATGTCATTAGCTTATGTTTTTTACCCCTAAATTTATTATGAATAAATAAAATCAATAGAATTCTAATAATTAAATAAAGGTAAAACTGAACATTTGAATTAAATCAAACCTGAGGTCCTTCCCAGAGCTTCTCGAGCTGGCTATGACGCATATGGAGTTCTACAAGATTTTCAAGATGAAATCTCACAGGGAGATTCTTTTTTGGGTACGCCTCCCAATGTAGTAACTTAAGACTGGGTGGAAACTCCAAGTCCTGAGGTATGTGCACTATGTCTTTTTCACAATGTTTTCTTTTGTGGACAGCCAGGAACTGAAGGTTACGCATTCTTTTAAAAGCTCCCCTGCTTACAAACACTTCGCCTGTTTCTGATGTATCCAAACATATGCCACACACTGTTCTAGTACCCTAAACCATTCCCAAAATAGTAGAATTTGTTAGCACAATATAGGTAAGATGTTTTTCTTTTTTTGGGTATCTTAGAACCATAGAAAGACCCAGACTACTCTAAAAAGGATGGTGCAGCCCACTAGACAACCACCTTGTGGTCAATATCGGTAAGATGTTGCCTTCACTAAATGAGGTATCGAAATTTTAAAAGCCACAGTCATTGCCAGACATGTCCATTACATATCCTATAAACCATATTGCAACGTAGAAAAAATTATTACCACAGTAAGTAAGATGTTTATCTTCACCAAATGAGTTGTTTTAAGTAAGTAAGTTAAACTAACAAATACGATAAATTAAGAAAGTGAAAAAGAACTTACTGTGTCATATTCAAGAACATCACAAATCTGATGAGGATCAATTAAAATGTGGCGTTTCCAAGGTTCTTGTCTCTGAAGGACTTGCCTAGCCATTTGTTGTAGTAAGTTGTGCATCACTATTTTTCCACTGGTAGATATGTCTATGAGAGATCTATTGACTAGGTTTCTCAACCCATGTTCAACATCCAAATTACAGTCACCCAGCATGGATTTTACGTAATGGTCGAATTTGTAGTTGAAGAAGATTGCAATGTGAAGAAACAGAGCTTGATCCTTGTCATGTAAACTCTCATATCCGACTCTTAATACTCTTTCGATATCTTCATCAAGACTAGTTTCTAGCCTATGGATTATAACTTCCCATTCATCCCCACTTTTCCCATGTAAAGATGAACCCACAACACGAAGACCTAATGGAAGATTACTGCAAAGCTCTGTTACTCTTACTGCCAGCTTTTCAAAACCAGACTTTGGAGAGCTTCCTCTAAAACAATATCTACAGAAGATCTCAAGAGATTCTCCATTAGATGGAAACCCAACATGGTATGCATTGTTGGTGCCAAATCTTTGCAAAAGCTCTTGATCTCTCGTAGTCACAATAATCCTACTTCCAGAACCAAAAATATATATATCCTTAGCCAAAGCATCTAGCTGATCAAGACTATCTACATCATCGAGAACGATAAGAACCTTTTGGTTGCATAACCTCTCACTTATCACATCTAAGTGACATATATTTATATTGGTATGGTTCAAAATGTGCAAAAGAAGTTGTTCTTGTAAACGCAGCTTTGAACCATAGTCATCACAACCAATATTCCTATAACTTCCCCCAACATTTTCCATGAAATATCTAAGTGGAAAATTCGGAGAGAGTTGGTTGTATAAAGCTCTGGCAATAGTAGTCTTACCAATACCCGCAGGACCAGAGATTCCTAAGGTCATAGGTTCATCATTTTCTGAAATTAACATAGATTGAATCTTCCCCAAATGCCCTTCAAGTCCTACCATCCCATCAAAATCCTTAGATGGTGTAGCATTTAGATTGTCTGAAACATTTAAGGCAATCTTCTCAATCATTTTTGCTTCGTTGTTCCTAATGGAGAAAAAAACAAATTCTAAGAAAATAGGGTATCAGAACACATATGAGTTTCTCAATATTAATATTTTATTTAGTTTTAAAGCCATCAAAGGATAACAATCTGTCAAGTGTGGTTTAAATCTCTTACCAATGTTAAAGAGTGAAAGATTTTTCTTACACTCTCATAAATTTTAATTATTTTATTTATTTAATTAGTTAATGAAAGTTTGGGACATAAGTGTTTTTTTTTAATGAAACATATTTAATTATTTTTACATTTCTGTGCTATATTTGTGATGAGAAAATGTATGGCTATCATCATATGGTTTTTCTATTGTAGACATATTATATACACGAAGGGTAGAAAACAAGAACAAACCAGTTCACGGAATGTTCTCCGGCGATATTGGCGATATGGGTCAAAGCTTGGATCCATCTATGCACCTGGGTCTCTGTTTTCCCTTGGCAAGTTTTCTTGAAAGTCCTCCCAAACTCTCCCATCTGTTTCCTCACATCACATGGATCCACTCTGTAGAAAACCGTCATCACAATTTGTCCAGCAGATTCTTGACACTTCAAAATCTCCACCAGCTCATTCAAACACCAACTTGAAGAACCATAGTTCTCGGAGAGAACCACGATTGAGATTCTTGACTCTCTTATCGCCCTTATAAGTTCAGAACCGACCAGTTTGCTTCTCTCAATCCCTTCATCGTTAAACGCGATGATGCCATTATGTTGAAACTGCTTTTTTAGATGGCTCATAAATGTTACACGAACATCTGGTCCGTGGAAGCTGGGGAAGACGTTATATCTGCAGCTCCGAGAAGAAGACGCCATAAGTAATCAAAAGGGTAACTAAGACTTTGATGACAACATAATCAGATAGTTAGAGCGTTATGGACAAGTCAGTGCCCTGTTCGTTTCTACAGCGTCAGAGCCAGCAATAAAGAATTAACAAACAGATGAGAGAAATTTTAATGGTGTGTTGTTATGGAGCTGCCGCCGGCGACGTAACGGCTCGTCTTTTCTGTATTTTTACTGCCGCTTGAAATAATAGCGTCTACCGCAAATACTCATTTGATTGGGTGCTGAACTGTCACTTAGATTCTTTTGTATTTTTTTGATCGCTGCGTCTACTACTGGCGTCACTACAACGAATATGGCTAGTATAATAAACAAAAACGCATAATGAGAGGAGAAACGTCATAGGAAAAAAAGGTTTTTTTTTTTGTCACAAAGGAAAAAAGGTTTATCTCTTATTATTATTCCGTCTATCTTGACTCTTTCTTTCTAGTTGCCGACACATATGTGTTTTTAATTAAATTTTTTAAATTTGGATGGAGTCAAGATAGACGGAATAATAATCCAAACACAGCCACATCCCACATTTTCCCGAACACCAACTACTTCCCAAAGACATCTCTACATTAAAAACAATCATTCTACTGATGTTAAAAAACAATCATTCTCCACAAAGACATCTCCACATTAATGTAGATTGTTTATTGGGCCATAATTTGATTGATTGTCGAAGTATGATGGTATACTTGTATTAATAACTATGTTTAAATTATTATATATACTGGATGAATATATGAAATCATTATCTTTTACTTGACTTATTCTTGGATGAACTCCTTAGGATGAACTTCTATGTTCACAAACCAATAAGATAGTTTTATTTCATATTTATTATTTTTAAATAAGGAAACAAAATCTTGTTAAATTATATTATATTTTTAAAATAAAAAATAAAAATAATAATATTTCTAAAAATGAAAAACAATTCTTTAAAAAAAATATTTGAACATTATATTACATTTTTAAATAAAAATATAAAAATAAAATAAAAAACAGTAATAATTACAAAAAAAATTTAAAAAATCTTTTAATATATCTTTAAAATGAAAAGAAAATATTGCTATATTATATTATGTTCTTAAAATAAAAAGATAAAAATAAATAAAAACAGTATAAGTTGTTAGTATTAATTTTTTTTTATTTAATGTAAGATTTTTCCAAAAGGTTTATGATTTACCCAAGAGTTTAGGATAAGGGTTTAAGGTTTAGAGTTTTAGTGTTAAAATATTTTTTTCTAGAATTTTTATTGTTTTTTTGTAAATATTATTATTTTCTATTTTTTCTATTTTTATTTTAAAAACATAATATAATTTAATAAGATTTTATTTCTTTTTTAAAAAGGTATCAAATATGAAATAACACTATTCTATTGGTTGGTGAACTTAGAGGTTCACCCTAGAAGGTGAACCCAAGAATAACTCTTTTTATTTTATTCTTTTCTAATCTCACAAAGTAGTCACTCTTTCGCAAAATTAGTGATTTGTAAACATATATAAAACGAGAAATTATTGGGTTCACCTTCTAGGGGGAACCTCTATGTTCATCAACCAATAAAACTTCATGATTTCATATTCAGTATCTTTTAAAAAATAAACAAAATATTATACATTTATATTATGTTTTTAAAATTAAAAGATAAAAATAATAGTAGTTGCAAACAAAAAAAAAATTTAAAATATTTTTAATACTGTTAGCAGAACACTAAACCCTAAATCCTCAGGTAAATCCTCAACCTGGATTAATTTTAAACCCTTGGAAATTAGAGTTTAGAGTTTACCTAAAGGTTTAGGATTTAAGTTTTATGATAATCCAAGAGTTAAAAATTTACCCAAGGGTTTAGGGTTTAGATTTTAAGGTTTCGGGTTTAATGTTTTGTTGCTGGTATTAATACTCCCTCCGTTTCACTTTAGTTGTCATTTTAGGTTTTTGCACACAGATTAAGGAAACATT